TTGATGTCAAATAAAATAAATAAATGACACAAAGTTTAAATAAAGTAAAAATCAGCAAACACTGTGGAACCAATTAAATAAGAAACGAATGTTTAAAAAAACTTCCAAAATCACTTTAGATAAATGGCGAAAGTCAACAGGCTTTTCAAAACCCAAAATACTGCCAAACAGGTGCTTTTGCATTTCGTTTCGAAACTAAATCATCCGCCATCGTCTTGTCTGTCTCACCCCACTCTTCTTGTCAGTCAGCTCGACTCACTCTCCTCACTGGAGAAATGAAATCTGATCTGTGATGCGACTGTCGTTCGGCACGCTGCATTGAGCAGCCGCGTTCAGTTTTTAATTGTAGTGTCTGTTCTTTTACTGAACTAAATGATTTTTATTACTATAAAAACACCAAAACGACGGTGAGGGTTGGTGGGCAAGTGACGTAACCGGTGTTGCGGCTTAACAACGGTATCACCGTCAGCACCGTCTATCGTGGCAAGCCTAATTCACAAGATCGCCCTATGTTCACTTCAGTGATGCCTAGTCAGTATTTAGCAAATTGTCAGGAGCAGTGTGCTAATAGAAGTAGTGTGTGTGCTGTTAAATAAATGTCAAATGCAGTAACGTCTGTTAAAGCTGGTCTGTGTGTAGCACCTACGGCTCTGCAGATCCTTCTGAAGAAGCCCAGTGATAGAAACAAGCGGCTGACATTTATTTTAAACAAGACATCTGATCATTTCAGCCTGAACTAAATGGTTAGAGCGGCACATTTCAACAGCATTTATTTTGTATAGCTAATAGCAAAAAAGTAAATCTTTGTCAGTGTTTTTTTTTTTCAATAAAAATATCTAAACATCCTTAAATCAAGGTACATTTACTTGAGATGCAAAATGCAGATATGAAGTCTTGTTTTCTGAGAAATTGAAAAATGAAGCGAGTTTAAAACAAGAACAAACATCTGTCAGTGGGGAATGAATAACTTGTTTTCCCTTCGAATTGAAAGTTGTATTTTCAAACTTTGAAGCATTGCTAATACCAGACTTTTACATTCAGAGGCCATATTGACATAGTTTTCCATTCAATTCCTTAAATCTTCTTTACTTGGTCTTAAATAGGTCTTAAAAAGTCTTACATTTACTTTCATAAACCCTGCAGAAACTCTGGTGTTTACATAAGTCTTAAAGGCACAGCAGCACAAAAATGGCCTGTTTAATTAAGGATTAGAGACAGACTGGAAAATATTATTGTTGGTTCTGTGATGAATTGCTCATGTTTTTCTATTGTAAGTCACTTTGGATAAAAGCATCTACTAAATGCAATGGAAAATGATCATTAAAAACTAAATTATGACTGTTTTGATGTGTCAAAGCTTTTAAAACTTATAAGAGAACATCTCATAAAAATAAATGATCATGCGACCCCTTTAAGGTGAGGAATGTGTCTAATAACAGTTATATTTCGTGGGTGGAGACCACATTCATGACATTTAAGCTGTGTGTCTCTCGAGTTTCATAAAATCCTTGGTATTCTGTTTGTTTAAGAGCATTTGGTCCAAGTTTTACGCTAAATCCTGGGTTAAAACACAGTGCTTTGTGAAGCTTAGGGCTTGTAGCTCAATGTGTGATCAATGTACGCTTCTCAGCAGTGATATGTTTGGAGGAAGTAAATCTATCTGTAATTGGTCAAGCGTTTCTTCATCAGGAAATACATGGCTTGTGTATCAGACCCAGAATAAGTCACCTATTACACTAAGAATATTCAGTTTTCAGAACCCATGTTATTGTAATTTTACTTCATTACAAACATTTAATTGGTTTTATCTTAAAGTAACAGTTCACCCAAATATGATGACAGAATTTAACCTTATGAAATGGCTTGATGTATATTAATTTCTACTTTAGACTTGACTCCAAATTTTTACATTTAGTCCATAATGCAATATAAAAACGATTTAAAATGTACATGAATTTACAAAGCAAATATGAAGCATGAATGAGATTTTTACAGAAGCTGTTTAAGTGGAAGTCAGCTGTACTTGTCGTGTCCTCATACAACCATCTATATAATCTTTCACACCATGTTTTCAGACAAAACCATATGTTAAAAACTATCAGCTGCGCTTCGGTTTTTCAGTTCCTATTTGTCACGAGAGTTGATCTGTGTTTTAAAATATTGTCATAACAAAAATCTTTCCTATCTAATGGAGTCATTGTTAAGAGTTCAGTTCCTAGAAAAGATAGTACGCATGCATATTGATTTAAAAAAAGACAGATACTTGTAAGTAGATTTCGATCCAGAGTGTCAAATGAATGTGTGTAACTGCTATGGAGTTACACGTTTATTGTAAAGTAGCTCTTGCTAACAAACATACTGTATTTGAACTTTACTGGTTTTTGAAATGCTCATCTATGTAGGTGTGCAACAAACCAATGTTTTATTTTTTATGCAAATATGCAAAACTTTGTATACAAACCATTGTTGGCTTGTCCTGAAATTAGAAGTGAAGAGCTCTTAGTTGTGGGAACAGCCTTCATTTATACTTTACAGAAGTTTCTTATGCATCTTTGTTGAAATGATCTTGTAGACGCCCTTTTCAATGGATTGCTCGTGTTTATCAAACTTTCAGTGTTTGAGTCTAAACCACACAGCTAAACATTTTAATGATTTCCAATATTTGGTTTGTTTCAATTAGGATGTTCAACATGGATGTTTTTCCCCCCAAATATGTTTTCATTACTCTTTTGTTATGTTGTGTCTTGCAGAAGAGCTGCTGAACAGTTTTGCGGGTCAGCCTGGCTCGTGGAGGCACTGCCTCTACTTCCTCTCCAACAGCAGAAATGAATACGTCATGATGTACAGCCTTACTGTGTTTGAGGTAAAATGAACCCTTCAATTTATTATTTTCTGTAAATTAATTCTATGAAAACTGCCAAGACTATGTTCATTATACACTGCCAACAAATTTTAAGGGGAATTGGCATTAAAATAATATCACCACACACGTTAATGGAACAAAAAATAGGCTTTTCTTTATGCAAAATACAACATTTGTTTCTGTTGATTTTTAGTGTAAAACATGACTTGGAGGTGTTTGTGAATCACCCTAAAATAGATTAAAATATTCGAGCACAGGCATCCCCAACTGTGTTTAAGATATGAGATATGACAATAAATGTGTCGGCCCTTCTGTGCAGAATCTTGTGAACAAGATGTGGGTTGGTGTGGCCAGTGAAGACAAAGCAGAACTTCGTAGCTGTTTGCCCAAGCTTCTGCTTTCCCAGCATGCACTGCTGCCTTTCTTCATCAGAAACAAGCTGTGCAAAGTCATCGTGGACATCGGACGCCAGGACTGGCCGATGTTCTACCATGACTTCTTTAGCAACACCTTACAGGTACGTCTTATTCTTTATTATGTATTATTATTATTAAATCCTATTAAAGTGAACCGACTCCATCTTTGTGGTTTGTGTTGTAGTTAGTGCAGTCACCGTCTCTAGCGCCGCTGGGTTTAGTTCTGCTCAAGATGACCTCAGAAGAGCTGGTCTGTCCCAGAGAAGACTTGAGCGTCGCTCGTAAAGAGGAGCTGAAGAAACTCCTGCTGGATCAGATCCCCACCGTACTGAACCTTCTGACTGGTGAGACGCTAGTAACTCGTTAATTCAGAGTATATGTGGATGTAACTAGTCCTTAAGCACTGGAAAATGTGTATGTGATTGGACTTGCAGTTTTATTTTAAATGACTCTTTTCCTCGTAGGTATTCTGGAGACAGTATGGGACAAACACAGTGTTACGGCCACCACTCCCCCTCCATCCCCCACATCTAGAGAGTCAGGTGAGCTTCTGCTTTGACCCTTTTGACACTGGTCTGTTTTGAAAGGCAAGGTCTACATCAGTGATACCAACTAGTGGTAAACTAATATAGGTTAAAGTGATTTAGGTCTGCAACAACAAATGATGCAATTAATGTAAATTGCCAATGGGAATAGGTGACAGTGAAGTCACTTTACAGTAGTAAGTAAAACTATTTGAACTGGTTGCAAGTGCTTTGATAACTTTTGCTTTT